ACAGAAAGAACAAATAATGGTCTTTTCAATTTCTTTAAATAAACCTTCTGGGTCACTTAGCCAACCCATTACAGGACAAAGCAAGCAATTAAACTTTTTAACATTCCTTTCAATAAATTAATCACTCTTTGGTGATTAATTCGTTTTCTTAAAATGTTGTGTGTGTGAGTATGTGTGTGTTTTGTTAACATTTCCTTAGCCAAGTTTCAGAAGGCACAGATTTTTGTTTTATTTTTGCAGCCTATCTGCCAGGTGCAAACCTAACAAAAGCAACGCTATGATTTTCTGATGATTTTGCTTCCACCCTGGGATGAACCAGCAGGTTGTTGATGTTTCCTAACTGAATGAATAATACTGTAATGTTATGATCAGATATGAGAGCATGCACAGGTACACACAGACAGACAGAAAGTTCAACACACCAATCCCGTATTACTAATCTTTGTATTTAAACCTCAGCAGCGGTGCAGTAGTAACTCTTGTGAAGATGACACAAACTAGGCATCTTCCCTTGCATTATTTCTGAATAATGCTCAGTACTCAATCGGATCCATTAATGCAGTGTTGTCCAAACTTGGCCGCTTTAAGATGAGTGGACTTCAACTCCCAGAATTCCCTAGCCAGCATGAGTTGAAGTCCACTCATCTTAAAGCGGCCAAGTTTGGACAACACTGCATTAATCCATCCACATGAACTCCACTTAAAGCGGCCAAGTTTGGACAACACTGCATTAATCCATCCACATGAACTCCACTTAAAGCGGCCAAGTTTGGACAACACTGCATTAATCCATCCACATGAACTCCACATTAATGCAGTGTTGTCCAAACTTGGCCGCTTTAAGATGAGTGGACTTCAACTCCCAGAATTCCCTAGCCAGCATGAGTTGAAGTCCACTCATCTTAAAGCGGCCAAGTTTGGACAACACTGCATTAATCCATCCACATGAACTCCAGCTTCCCCACAATGAAATTTCTTTAAAAACCAACAGCACTAACCTGGAAGGCAGGCAGGCAGGCAGGCAACTCTGGGCAGCAACCTTCTTCTGCCATGCATTTACCTGTTTTTTTCCTCTTGATGTTCCGCTCCCACATTGCTCCAACCAATCTCAGACAACATTAGCAGGAACATGACTAGTCCCAGCTTCTGAACTAGTCAGTCTGAAACTTTGAAGGAAGATGCTTAAACACAAGCCACAAAACAGCAGCTCCATCCCACTGTTTGGAACAGTCAGAACCCTCAAAACTAGGCCTCTTGAAATTAGTGAGCTTTCTATCACACTTGGAACAAAATAGCGTGAGTTTTATTTCATGCTCAGAATAAATCTCTCAAGGCACCTGCACTCAGAACATCTGAAATGGCTCTTTTGCGGTTGGCATGTTCCAAGATTGGAACTTTTTGCCATCCCCAGCTGCCAGATTCCGTTCAGGATGGGATTCCTGGGCTTTGAATAATCAGGCTGGCATTGAGGAAGAATTGTCTGGAATGTGGCTGTGAAAAAATAAAGTGTGTCTCCTGAAACCATTCCTCCTTCACAGCCTTAAAAGTAGAGGACCCCTTTACCAGATGGAACAAGGCAACTTAAAAACAAGCACAATTCATTGTGAGGGTATGTCTGTGGCCAATTTTAAGAACACCTCGTAAGTGCCTTTCAACCTGTGTGTTGAGGGCTGAATGGCAGCTGATTCTCAAAGGGAGACCTGCTCAGCTTTCATCTTCTTCCTATGTTACCTTTTAAAATCTGCTTTATAATCCACCTCAGGTTTTTGAAGTCCCAAAATCTAGAAAAACCCTACTGGCGAATTTATAGACCTACAACAGGTGCCTTCCTTCTGCTAACTGCGCTCCATCTCTGTGATCAGGTAAGGGTTCAAAGGTGCTGGAGAGAATCTAAAGGAGATCATGTGCGCCACAAAGGTAACAGAGGCATTTGTCTCTTGCTCCATCCCTTAGGAAAAACTTATTTGGCAATCAGTTAAATCTGCTGCTCTTTCAACATTTGGAATTTTTTTTTTCTAGTTCACTAGAGAAGTGCCTCAGGACAAGGACATATGCTTTTAGCCCTTGCCCTCTTGCATGACCATTTCTGTGCTGTTCCTTTAATCATATTCTTTCAACCCTTCCTTTCTTGACTTAAAACAACAACTTCAAATTAAAAGCCTTTCTGCATGAGTGAGTTACCCTGGCACTGGTTTATTCCATGAACTCCAAGCATGCATGCCAGCCACATAAGGCAGTTCTAATGCCTAACTTGTGGTTAAACCTTTTCTGTTGCATGTCTTTCTCGTATCTTAGTGAAGTTAATTTCAGTTAAGCAATCTATTTGCAGGAACACTGAAAGTCCTGACATCCCCAAAGGCTTCCTGAAGAGCAGATTTCAATGAGATAAGGATCAATGAGCTAATTTCTTTCCTCAATTTCTACAGCTTTGCAAGTTCTTGGATTCCTCTGTCATCTCCACAGAGTTAATTCACCATACCCATGTGGGGGCAAAGTCATCTTCCACTCTTCCAAAGGGCTTTAAATTAATCTTGCTTTCTTCTCCTTCTTCCCCTTTCAAATATCATCTGCTAAGTGCCCTTCCCAAGGTTGTGTGCTCCCCTTCCCCCTCATCCCCCAAAGCCAAGATGCTCAGTTGCAGGAGAATGGTGGCTGTACACGCACAGATTTTCTCCTCGCTTGCTTTGCATAGAGCTGGTTTGAAGTTGCATGTTTTCAGTTTGTTCATGATAATGCTCTTCAGAGGAAGGACAAGGTATGGATTAGTTAATGTTTGAGCAATTAAGATCTAAGATTCACAGGCATTTACTCACTGTCTTGGACAAAATAGAGGGATACTTAACTCATCGGGTTAATGGTTTAACAATACTATAATAAAAACAGACCATCCCTAAAATATTGGCTTTTTAGTCAGTGCTCTCAGTTCTTGGTGTTTAAGGAATGCAAATCAAATGAATGTTTTATCTGGTTAACATACATACATACCTATATGTATGCCATAGTCCATCTACACATGCCTTTAAATGGCAAGTATCTCTCCATTTTCTCAAATCAGAGCTCAATAGTCTGCTAATAATGTGTGCCATGCTTGGTTAAGCCAATTGTCTCTTCACCCATCTCTTGTAATTTATTCATTGCATTATAAAAGCTGCTTTTAAGATTGGGGAGCCAGTACTCTGGAGAGGATTTGATCCTTTTCCCCCCACTCTAATCCCATAGGCTGAACATTTATTGTAGGCCTGCCTTTTCTCCTCCCCTCATCATTACCATTGGGGAATATTTTCAAGTGGGGAAAGAGCAAACCACCACTACCCCAGCCTTCAAACAAGCTTCACATGGAGCTATTAGTTGATGATGATGATATCTCACTGAATCCAATAAGCTCATGGATTTATTTATTAAATTTATATTTTTCATATGTCTAACTTGGCTTTTTCCAAGTCAACCCCATTTATTTCCCTTTGCCTTCCTAGGTAAGTGCTTACGGGTACATCACTGAAGGCTACCAAAAGTATTCGGATCACTATTATGATAAGGAACGGAAACGTTTAATTTTTTATACCAACCATGACTTCGATCTGGAACGGAAGGTATGGAAAAAACTTCATGATGCAAACATTATGAAGCTCTACCAACGAACCTGACAGAAGCAGACTATGGACTTCTGGCTGGGGTGGGTTGTTTTGCTATGACACAGAAACTCTGGAAACAGGGATGTTATTTGGACTTACTGTTATCTAAGATACACTAATAATTTTCTGAATGCTTCCATAACACTTAAGATTTTTCTAAGAATATCCACACCATGAACATGATTATCCATCCAGGACAAAAAGATACAAAAAGATTCTGCTAGTTAAGAGCATAATTTAATGTAGAGATAATTCAATCCTGAGAATTTGATTATAATTAGAGTAGTACTGTAAGGTCCACTATCTCAGGCAATTTATGCTGTCTGACCACTTCTTTCCAAGAGTTCAGGCAAGAGATGGTTGATGCTTGAGATTAGGGTTATTATACTTGAGTTGTAACAATCCAGACAACCACTAAATGGGAGCAAAGGATACAGAAAACTCTTTGGTGCTGCCTGGTGGTCCTCCAGATAATTGGAGCCCTGATATACTTACCCTACCTGAGATCCCACAGTCTTGAACCCTATCTGCATAGTTACAATGTAAGCATTTTTTAATCAGTAAACAAGTGCCATGACTGCTTAGTTTTAATGTGAATCCATTACATTTTAATATGAAAACGGACTTGACTTCACAGTAAAGAATTTTTTTCATATGTAGATTGTGAAGGGTGGTTTTTGTTTGTTTGTTTGCTCTAGACTCCAGTTAGCAAAAACAGAATTAGGAAAAATGGTGAGGCAGGTATTTTGCACATGAAAGGGTCTCATTCAATCCCTGGAGTTGTAAGAAACTATGAAAATTCCTTTCTGAATCCCTGCAAAGCTGCTGGTTATCAGAGTAGACACAACTGAGCAAGATGACCAAAGGTCCTACTTAATTTAAGGCAGCCTTCTATGTTGGGAAAGAAGAGATGAGTAAAATTCACTTCTCTCTTCTTGCTACTAGGAACTAATGAAACTTTCTAGATTTGCTTAACTTTTTGATTTCCAGTGGATAAGTGCAAACAACAACAGTAACTCCTTTCTTCCTGATATTTTGGGGTGAGGTGGGAATTTGCAAAACACTTTGTTCTATTTGCCATCTCTCCAATAAAGACTGTTCTCTAGAGAGTGGTTTCCCCATCCTTTGTGCTCCGTTGCTTGCTCTCAAGAGTAGAGCCTCAAGCTTTTGAGTTCTCAGTAGGGTAGCAAGGAATTATTGTTCGCCTTCCCACTCTGGAATCCAAGCCATGCCACACTGCTCCAGGTTGCTAAGTGACAACTCTGTCCTGGTATTCTTCAAGCCTGAATAGGACCTTTACAATTCCCAATACGTTTTTTTTTAATGTTTTTCTCTGTAGAGGCCCCTTCTCCCTTGCATTTTTCTGTTGCAGGGAAGGGATTAATCTTAGTCTCCTTCACAACATAGAAGATGATAGAAAATTCCTTTAGAAAGTCATTTACAAATCTTAGGAATAAACAAGGGTATAAAAACATGGGCAAAGGTTGTCTGCATGGCCCAGACCATCCCTGTATTGTTTTGTGCAAGATCACATAAATGGGTTGAGATGTATAGCAGTAGTTCTATTGGAATAGAAATTGTGATCTCATAGGATCCAGAGACAGATAGTTAAAATATCACATACATTTCATCTTTATGATAAAATTGGAAATTGGATCAACTCTGCCAATTTTATATCACAAACAGTCTGCTGATATGAGGGCTGGTTAGACTCTATTTTATAATTAGAGCGGTACTGAATTTACCAAGAAGTCATACCCAGCAGTATAACTGCATGCCATGTTTACAAATGGCTACAGTGGATGCAAAGATGTTTATTCAAGATTTTTTTCACAATTCCTATTTGTTGCCCATCTGCTGCAGTCTTGGGTCAGAAACCTCTGTTTCAGGTATCTGGGATGTGCAGTATAGGCTCAGTAGCCTTAAGTAATGCACACAGATAGAAATAAGTGCAGCACAGATCACTTGATACTGAAGATACATTAATCAATGTCAGCCCCCCAGGTTGGCAAGGTCAAGAAACAGAAGCAGCAGCGGGGGTTCTAGGAATGCTATTTTATTGTTCTAGGGCATAATAACAGAATCTTGAAGTCTGTCAGAGTTTCTCTCTGCCCCATCAAACAAAACCAAGGTGGGGTTATTTTGAGTTTCTTTCTCACACTTTTCACTCTCTTGAGACTAAATTGCTGTTTCTACTCCCTTCATGTTTCATTGTTCTCTTCCCTCTTCCCAAGACCAGATCTCCATTTTTTCACAGTCAGCAAAAATATATTCTATTTCTATTCTAGGCTAATCTATACACACATGACCCAGTTACAGAAAGTGGCACATGACCAAGACATTTGTCCATTTAGGCTTGACTGTCAGAGTGGAAGACATGGAGCCCTTTACACCCAAAGAGTCTAATTCTTCTCCAGTCTGAAGAGGTTCCTTAAATCTGATGTGCTTCCCTCTTAGGGATTCCGTGTCCCAAACTTCACCTTTTGTCAGCATGTTCCAGGAAGCATATACCCATTAAAACTCCCACATGCAGAAGCCCCCTTTTCACCATCAGACAGATGGCAGAAACATCCCAGATTTCCCCTTGCCTGCCCGCAGGTAACATTAAGCTAACAATTAAGATTTAGTATTTTGTTAAGTCCAGTGAAATTCAGCAGATGCTGCTTACAGATAGGGAAAAGGACTAAACAAAAAACTGACAGCCTGCAAACTAGTTCCTCTTTCCACAGAACTACTGGCAAAGGAAATTGCAGCCTGACAGAGGCACTGAAATAAAACCCATTTAAGCAAGGCAGGTCATAAACCTACTTACACCCAAAAGGCATAAAGCCAAGAGGTGCCTGTTAAACTGTAATTGGGGCATTCTCAGTATCTACCTGATAGGGAGCGACATCCTCAGGGATTCAGAATAGCCAAGAGTACTTGGGCCAACCTTTGCAAGTCACATCTCGGTTAGGCCCAGAAGTCTTTTTCAATGTGTGGTCTTAATGATAGAAGAAAAGGGGATGGGGAGGAATAAATAAAAGAAAGTAATTAATCCAAATTTTAAAATACTGTACATACAATATTGTTATCTTTGTCTTTCAGGGGTAGGTGGCTGAAATTTGCAAGCAAGATTTCAGATCTGATTGCACATGCTAATTCTTTCTTTGCTTTCCAATCTATCATGGCCTTTTATAGAAGCAGGACTTATATTTCCACTATATACTGTATGTCGTTTCTACCTCCAGTCCATCACTCGTGATTCTTACCTCATGCCACCTAGCTTGCAATTACTTTAAAGTATATTTTTATTTCTTGAGTAAGATGTCTTAATTTCTTAAGCAACCAAGGCTGCTGCCTTGCAGTTGCTCATCTAGCAGCAAGCTCCACTGAGTTCAATGACCCTTATTTTGGGGACACTTGTAAAAGGTTCCCCATAGGATTAGAATGATAAAGGATGTTTTTCAAAAAATGGAAAAATGAGTTAAGATTTTAGTTTATAAATACTAAAAGTAAGATTCCTTTGCATTCCCTCTTGGTATTATGAAATTAGTTGTTTCACCTTCTTCAGGGATGATCAAGGAAAAAACAGATTTACTTCTGCTTCATTGACTATGCAAAAGCCTTCGATTGTGTGGATCATAACAAACTGTGGCAAATTCTTAAAGAGATGGGGGTACCAGACCACCTTACCTGTCTCCTGAGAAATCTGTATGCGGGCCAAGAGGCAACA